ATCCTGCCAAAAAGTTGCAAGATTGCTTTATAATTTATAATTAAGTTTGAGGCTCAATTTTAATGCAATTGTTTATTTTTATTTTTTCTTTTCTTCCACAAAAAGGAGAGAGTAGGAAATGATATTGTAATTATATAAAATATAAATTAAAATGATTATTTTCAAGTTGTTTGAGTGCTTGTAGGTTGGCAATGAAAAGCAATTCCACTTTTTACACCAAAATGATTTTTATAATAATTGTAAATTGACTTGTATGAAATCCTTTTCCATTTTATTTTTCTTTAATAGAACATCAGCCCACCCATATTTGGATGTGGTCTTTTGTATAATTTGATAGAAATAAACTAAAATTACTATTTTAGTACAAATAGTATAAATAAAATTATATGTTTTTAAAAACAGTTGTAATAATACTTCGTTATGAGGAAAAAATCAAATAAATTTCGAAATTTCGACGATATTTATATAGGCAGTAATTATAAAAAAATAAAAAAAAAACTAAGAGATCTTAAGAATTGACAGTTTTGACTAATATTGATAACTCCAACCATAAAAGTCAAGTACGGCTTTGGGTCAGTTGGTTAAGGTGCGCTGACACTGAGCTTTAAATTTAGCAGGACACAAATTCGATTTCTGGTATTTGCAGTTTAAAAAAAAATTAGTGAAAAAATTATTTACAAATTACAATGAATTACGAATAATTAAATACCAGAAATAATTCAAACACCCACTTATGATGGCCAAAAATTTAATTATTTAAAATAATATAAAATAATTTTTTGTTGTTGTAGTTCATTACTATTCGCAAACCCACTTGATAACTCCAAATTTAATATAAAAAATAAATATTTTTGATAGTACATACTTTGAAATTCAATAATTATTTTGTTTTATACAAAGCAGTAATAATGAAAATTAAAAAATTATAAATCCCAGATTACCTTTGTTTTGTGGAATATACTAAAACGTTCGATTCCGTTAAATGGAATCATTTAGGATCGATTTTTGAAGAGCTTGGTGGAATCTTGGACAGAAGTGGAATCATTCATAGTCGGTTTTTGGAGAACTTGGTGTATCAAATCAACTGATCAATATGGTAAAAAACCATTATGATAACAATGAAGCGAAGGTGACAGTGAACCAAATAATTTCCTATATGTTCAAAGCTGAAGCTGGCACTAAGCACGGTTTGCATCCTTTCACCAATACTGTTTAACGTATATGTTGAGTATATTATGTGACTTGTACTCGAAAATTGGTATGATAGCATATTTATATGAGGAGAAAAATTAATAACTTGCATTATGCGAGCGACACACTCATTTTGGCATGCAATGAAAGTGTACTCACCACCATACTGATAGAGAAATTCACATCCATAAGTCTACAGTGTGGACTACAGATCAATATTTTCAAAACACAAAAGTTATGATAGTTGACAGACAAAATAACAACCAAGGTAGTAGATAACTACCTTAACTACTTGGGATCCCTTAGTACTAAAATTGGCGGTAGCTCAAAAAAAACTAAATAGCGTATAACAATAACAAGATCTGCAAGAACAAAATTTATAAAAATATGAAAAGATAGAACTATAACAAAATTTATGAAGCTTCGTCTTGTAAACGCGTCGCTGTTTTCTCTAGCTACCTATGCAGCTGAAATATAAACCTTCGAATTGAGACCTTCGAATTGTGAGTCTATAGAAGACTGTTAAGAATTACATGGACTGCTCATCGAGTTTTTGATGAGTACGTAATTCTTCGAATAACAAAGACGTTCTAAGAATTACGTACTCAGAGACGTTCCGAGACGTTCTGTATTCGAAGAATTACGTACTCAGCAAAAACCTGATTGTGTCGAGAGTGTTCTGCTTTAGCGATAGTGCAGGAGGGTGATATAAAAAATTATCACCAGTTTTCTTTTTTGAAAAATATTATTACTATAACTGATCAATCTAGTTGCGTCTGTCTCCAGCAACAACCTATGATAAAATAAGTAGGCAAATTGCCGTTGCTTCTGGTTAAACTAAGAAATTCATCCTTTAATTTGTCATATGTTATAAAATTTTTAATGTGGGTTCCAATGGTAAATATTTTCTACTATTACAGTTGATTTGGATATAATAGGACGTTTGAAAGTGCATGTTGATGGTCCAATACTTTTAAACCAATACATCACTGTATTAAAATTGTATTCCAATGAATTTATTAATTTGAATTAAAGTAGTAAAGCCTCATAGAGTACGTCAGTTGTCAAACATTTTCGTTTTTAGATGTCTATTTATTTATTATAAATTATTTTTGATAGACTTGTCTGCGTTGAATGTACAAAAAAACACACAAGTGATTAGAATCAAGCACTTAAAAACAGTACACCCGTTGTGAATACTGCAGTTTGATGTCAAAAATGTTTTATAAACCCCACATTTGTATCTCTATCTATTGTGTATCAATGTGTTTGAGTATATATACGTATATTAGAACATATATCTATATATATGTAAATAACACTTTTAAAAGCAATTACAGATTCTCAATAAAGTGGTTGCGGAATTTATAACAGTTTTTTGACATCAAAGAGCAGCGGCCACAATAAACCCATATAAAGTTTTTAAACGTTTTATTTCAATTATTTATTTGCCCAATATTTCTTTGCTAGAATTTAAGAAAAAAAATTATTTGGACGGAAAATGACAAAAAAATGCCATTAAAAAACAAAGCAGCGCCCTAACGGCGGCGCCAACATTTTTTGGAAATAAAAATAGGCTGAACTTTAAAAAAAAGCCAGCTGTGCAAGGTTATTTTTTCTTTAGTCTTGTTTTTTTATATCTCTTGATAAATGGAGCGAAAAAAGGGGCTCTGCAAGTTTGACATTTTGTTTGGAATACAGTCATAAACCACAATTTATATTTTAAAACGAGAGAAAGAAATTTTGATTACACCATATCCGATAATGTTTTATTGATCAGATTGGCAATTTCATACGTATTTAAAAGCCAAATTAAAACTGAGTAATGCAACTCACAAAATACTTGAAAAAAATTATAGTAGAATTAACGGATATTAAAGGATTTCCTTTTTGAAACAATTGTGTCAAATAACATATCCTTCACTGATGACTACAGTGATTTTATGGAAAACTCTTGAAACTTACACAGAAAAATTAAAATAAAACCAGAACAAATAAAAAGATATAAAATTATTGTAAATTTATATATTAACTGTAGATTATAGTACGAGAAAAACAACTATTTCCGGCATATAGTTACAATAGATACCATTCCTTTTATATCACGCTAATGCCTTTCGGATTATAGATAAATCTAAACTTTTAAGTAAAAAGCGTGCCTATATCAACAGTTTCCCACCCATCGTCGTCCAACAGTCGATAGCGATGGAAATTTTCTCTATTAATTTCTAATAGTTGGTTTAGTGGGTCAAAAGCTAAATATATTGTAACTACTACTTCTTAATACAATTTTATGGTAAAGATTTGTAATCATTTGCATTTGATAGAAAAGAGCTTTGAAATTTGATACAACAAAAAACAAAAAAGAATTGGCTGTCTTATATATTTTGCGCGGCACTGTAGACTACCACCTTACCGGACTGGGTATACATATGAATGCAAACTGTAGATTCTGCGAATAGCACCAGTTAGAATGCCTACGAAATAGACTACGGGAATTGTATATTCGTACGGAAGGGGCAATAAAACTCTGTGAAGTAGGTTCTATACTATTTTTTATTGACGAAACAGGGTTAAAAATCAAAAGGGGGCACAACAGCCCCGATAGTCGCAGTGCCACATCCTTAAAAATAATATAAATATACTTTTTGCGAATTCTTGTTAATGTCTACAAAGTAACTATTAGTATTTTAAGTAAAATGATTTTATATACCATATATAACTGTGAAAGTATATACACTTATTTCCATTTGTTTTTCTATATTTGCCTAAGAGTATTTATATCTTATAATAGTAGATGTATTTAGAATATTTATACGATTTTTTTAATTGCAATAAATGAATATAGGTATGTAGCTGTGAGTCAGTAACAGTGTAAACGGTAACGTTATTAAATGATAGACGTTTGTCCGAAACCATCTTTTTAATACTTTCTCGGTAATAGGGTACACTGGCAAATCAGTTAATTTTGTTTGTTTGTTCTTTTAAACGTATAATGCACCTTAATCTGCTGGATTTGCTAGTGGATTCGGTATCCGTTCAATAGAGTTTTTACTGTGCTATCCTGATTTAAAATATTGAATTTTTTTGTAGTAATTGCAAAAAAAGATAAAATTGGCGAACTTTATTTACTAAAGCTAAAACTATTTGGATGACGTGCATAAAATGTTAGTCATTTTAATAATTGCCCTTCTTACAAATTACACGGCACTAAAATAAACATTAAAAGTTTGTTAATTAATTAATATGTTAGTATGTAAATAAGTACTATATAAATATGAAGCCATCCGTAATAGACTACAGAAGAAGAAAAACTAAATTAATACAATTTGCTTGTAAATAGTTGTGAAAGTGTGTAAGTTACTATGTTCACATAGAACAGATTTCAGATTCTATAAAAATAAAAAAAGAAAAGTACAACTACTTCAGAACGAAAGGACGAAATTGCTTACATTGCTCCCAGCACAAACTAGTCAAAAGGCAAACTTAAATATCTGCCCTCATACAAACTATGACAAAGTTACTGCGAAACTAAATTTATTTTAATTTAGTATTTCCTTTAGTTTTTGGTGTCCTTTTCTTCGTCTTTTCATCCTTTTTGAAAACTCATTTCGAGCAAATAATGCATAAATATATATGCATATTTTCAATTTCCTCACTAGCTAGAATCTTCCCTCTTCCTATATACCTCTTCCCTCATCTACAACCATTTTCCTTGTCATTTTTCTTACTATTTTCGGTTCTTTGTATTCTTGTTCATACTGTGCTCATGTGTTCTTATCCTGTTTTCTTTTCTTTTGCTATTTCAGTCACAGTATTTGGACAATTGGGTGGCAGTTTAATCATGTTGACCCCATCGACGCCATCAATAACGCATTTCGTAAACGACTCCTTTATCATAAAGTGCAACCCCCTACAAAAGGATATCAACGTCAAATGGAGGGATCCGAAGGGCATAACATTCGAGAATAAAAAAGGACGTGTTCATATCGAGCAGCGCGATAAAAGTGAGTTCATCATTTAATGAATTATGTCAGTCGGTATTGGCACCGCGTTGTTGTAGCCAGTGCTGCCACTGCTGCCAATGCTGCCACTACCGCTACTGCTACTGCTAAAAGGACCTTTGATAGAGATACATACATTGTGACCGAAAAGCTTTCGGAAATTCTCATTTAAAATTCGCGCGCTGTATATTTTTCGATATTTTAAGTTTATGTAGTTTGGCAGCACTGTCCTTAATTACTATGCCAAAAATGAGCGCGATCTGTCAGACAGTTCGTTTACGGCAGCTGTTGAAACCAGTTCACCTCAGTAGTGCGTTGCGAAAAAAACAATGGAAAAAAATATTGAACAAAGAGTTTGCATCAAATTTTGTTTTTCGAACGAAATTTCGTGTGCAGAATCGTTGCGAATGCTACAAAAGGCTTATGGGGAATCAGTTTTATCGAAAACTCAAGTTTATGAGTGGTACAAAGCCTTTCAGGACTGTCGTACGACCGTCGAAGACATGCCGCGTTCTGGACGACCTTCGACCTCTACCACCGACGAAAACATTGAAAAGGCAAAGGAAATCGTGTTCAAAAATCCTCATGTGAGTGTTAGAGAGATAGCACGAGAGCTAGGCATCGGTCGTGAGATGGCTCGTTTGATTTTGGTGGACAATTTGTGTATGCGACGTGTCAACGCCCGGCTTGTTCCGATTCACCTCAATTTGTTCAACATTATCAACGATTTTAAGGCCAAACATTCAATAAATACCATCGAACAGCCACCGTATTCACCTGATCTTGCACCGTGTGACTTTTTCCTGTTTCCCAACCTCAAATTACCACTCAGAGGAACGCGTTTTGAATCCATAGAAGACGTAAAACAGAATTCGCAGAGGGAACTCAAAGCCATACCGGAAAGCGCCTATAAAAAATGTTTTGATGATTGGAAGAAACGTTGGCATTTGTGTATCGCTTCTAATGGAGCATATTTTGAAGGAGATAAAATAAATATTGATGAAGATTAAGAATTTTGCGTTTTATTTATTTATTTCCGGAAACTTTTCGGTCACAATGTAGATACATACGTACACGTATTCGTAGAATTACAGCTACGAATATAATGTCTGCGGATGAGTGTTGCTTCTTAATTACATACTACATACAAAGTCATGCTTATAGTGACTCGGTTTTGTAATTATATGTATTTTATGTAAGAAGAGAAGTACCTGTGAAAAACCAAATGTTATGCAAGCAACGCGAAATGAATTCAGTTAAGGAGTTAAGAAATCCAATTTATTTTTAAATATTAATAAAATCGGATATTATCTTTTTAATTAATTTGATTTCAATTTCAATGTGATTTAATTTGGCCTTCATTACACATTTATTTATGCATGCAATTACTTGACTTATTTCCACTTTAGGTGGCTGGGCTCTGGTCTTCACGCATATTGCCCTCGAGGACAAAGGCAATTGGACTTGCGAAGCATCACTGGCAGATGGTGCTGCTGCACGAGAGGCAAAAAAATCCTTCGAGCTGCTTGTGAATCGTATGTGTTGAATTAATTAATAAAATCACTGCTTTAATTTGAATAAATTTTGCATGCATTCAACTGCACATTGCTGATAAACTTTATTTATTTCTCGCGCTTGGAAAAAGCATTTAAAATTATGTTTTTGTTATGTTTTTGTATATTTTGTATCTTTGCTAAAATTTATTATCCCATAACTTTTCACATTTTTTCTCTTTATCTTTTTTCTGCATAATTTTGTACGTTTTCCATGGTTCGCTTTGTGCTATTGGTCAACAACATTAATTTTGCTTCGAAAGAAAAAATCTCATTCGACAAAACGGAAATGGTGCAATCAGCACGCGAAGGTCGGGACGCAACTGTATATTGTTTCGTTAAAGGCGATCCCATGCCAGATATCTCCTGGCTATACAATGGCGAGTACATTAACAGTAAGTATCCTTATGAATCCACTTGACGTCAAAATTAATAACTTTGCCAAATACGTTTTGTTAACAATAATTAAGGCATTTATTTTTTATGCAAGGCCCTCAATTTTCATTAGAAACACCTGAGCTTCATTATTGTTGTCCCAATACAATTTATTACCACACTTCAAGCTCCTCAAGCACTTAAACATGAATTATAAATCATGATGAGCAAAATTAGAAGAAATTATACATCGTAAATTTATGAAGCACTTCGGTTATTAAAGTATTAAAGAAAATTACGAAATTACGAAATTAGGAAATTAAATTTATTAAATATGTATTAGAAATTTTATTTTTAATATTCTTATACGAGTAGTTGTTACACAAAATCTTAAAATAGAATTATACATTGTGACCGAAAAGTTTTCGGGAAATTTTAAATAAAACGCAAAATTCTTAACCTTCATCAATATTTATTTTATCTCCTTCAAAATATGCTCCATTAGAAGCGATACACAAATGCCAACGTTTCTTCCAATCATCAAAACATTTTTTATAGGCGCTTTCCGGTATGGCTTTGAGTTCCCTCTGCGAATTCTGTTTTACGTCTTCTATGGATTCAAAACGCGTTCCTCTGAGTGGTAATTTGAGGTTGGGAAACAGGAAAAAGTCACACGGTGCAAGATCAGGTGAATACGGTGGCTGTTCGATGGTATTTATTGAATGTTTGGCCTTAAAATCGTTGATAATGTTGAACAAATTGAGGTGAATCGGAACAAGCCGGGCGTTGACACGTCGCATACACAAATTGTCCACCAAAATCAAACGAGCCATCTCACGACCGATGCCTAGCTCTCGTGCTATCTCTCTAACACTCACATGAGGATTTTTGAACACGATTTCCTTTGCCTTTTCAATGTTTTCGTCGGTGGTAGAGGTCGAAGGTCGTCCAGAACGCGGCATGTCTTCGACGGTCGTACGACAGTCCTGAAAGGCTTTGTACCACTCATAAACTTGAGTTTTCGATAAAACTGATTCCCCATAAGCCTTTTGTAGCATTCGCAACGATTCTGCACACGAAATTTCGTTCGAAAAACAAAATTTGATGCAAACTCTTTGTTCAATATTTTTTTCCATTGTTTTTTTCGCAACGCACTACTGAGGTGAACTGGTTTCAACAGCTGCCGTAAACGAACTGTCCGACAGATCGCGCTCATTTTTGGCATAGTAAGTAAGTCATGCTGCCAAACTACATAAACTTAAAATATCGAAAAATATACAGCGCGCGAATTTTAAATGAGAATTTCCGAAAACCTTTCGGTCACAATGTAAAGTCGGTTTTGTTTACTGGAATTTCAACTTTTATTTCGTACGTCGTATTTTATATATCTCTACACGTATTTCGGCAAATTCCTAATATTGTAGTTATAATAATAGTACATAATAGTAGTTAATTCTTTATACACATATATATATATATCATATTTCTATAACATAAATATGCACAAATTAATTGAAAAAGTCTCATACGTCCTGTGAAAATTATGAGTTTTTGTTGAAAAAACAATATGCAATGGATTTTAGTGGACGTTTCCAGAAAAAGTGTGCATGTTACATAGAGAGGTCTTTATTGCAAAATGTTTGCAAAATAATAAGGTAACGCTATATAAAAAATGAGTCAATAAGATTTAGCAAAAATTTTGAACTAAATAAGATTTTTCACAAAAAAGATTGGAAATTTTTTTGATTTTTTTGTATGTTTGTTCGGAGTACTCTTTTTTTTTCACCTCTAGTATATTGATAAATATTGAAAATAAATCTGCCTTTATAAATTTTTTTTTTCTTTTTTCTGATTCTTTGATTAACTCAAAAATGTAAAGCAGGTATTTCGGAAACAAGTCCACGCCTGCAGATCATGGAATAGTTATATAAAACAAATCACCTTAAAAATTAAAAACCTTACTTATCAGTGCCTTAAGATCACGTACTAGTTCAATAAAACAATTCCAGTAAAAAATTTATGACAGGTATATAGGAAACTAGTCCATGCGTGCAGATCACGGACTAGTTATATTAAACAAATCAGTTCAGAAATGTATGGCAGATATATAAGAAACTGCAACCTAGGAACTCCGTACCAGCAGATTATGGAGTAGTTTAATTATAGGTTAGGTTGGAATATAACGACGATCCCAAGGGATCCACTTAGACCTATAGATTCATTATAATACCGTATAGTTAAAAACTCAAGGGTTAGAACCACTTACAACATTTTACATAGCTTATAATGCTATTTAGAGGGAGATCTTGCAGTTCGCCGAGATCCTTAAAAAGATTATTGTTTAGATTAGTTTAATTATACATTGCTTTTTTAAACATCTAAACACAACGTGCCAAATACGACCTTAAAGATATAGACCAATAATTATCGGTTTTGTAAAATAGATTTTAAGACATGTTATATATAAAATCTCAACAGTCAGCAGCAAAAGATATTATTGCTTCTGTAAAACAAATGTTGAAATAACTTAACATTTTTTTATAAATGCTCAAAATAAAATATTGACACATTCATTCATTTCGTGAGGTGATTCGTTGTCTTATACTATAAACAAAATAGTTTAAGACTATCCACGGTATCATATTTCTTGAAAACTTGAGAATTGTTTATGATAACAGCATAAATAATCTGAATTCAATATATTCATCAACTTACAATAATTATATTAGTTTTAAATAATAATAATAATTTTAAATAAATTTTTCAATATATCGGCTCACATCCCTAGTCATCTCCGAAGAGTTGACCATTTTACAGATTATTATAAAACATACTAAATACAGAATAAATGTATAATAATTTTGTCTTATGGCAGGAATAGTTCAATTTGACTTAGTCGGAGTACACTTTATGACTTATTAGTTAAATTGTGATTAACAACTATTTATCACTTTGTTCACTATCTTAATAACTTGATTGCTTTTATGGATCCCAGGACACAACGGATTTGAGGGAAATGAAAAAGCCCATGAACTAGCCAGAAAACGGACGGCCACATATTTTATTGGGTCAAAACCATTCTGAGTTATATACATTTCTCTCTCTCTCTCTTTTATGACGGCAACTTGTTTGTGCAAAAATAATCTGCATATTGTTTTTTAATGTGTAAAATGAATTTTTGTATATTCCATGTTCTTCATGGAGCTTTTTCAAACTTAAAATTAATACATGAAATAGCAGCTGAAAATAGCAGCTGAGATTGTTTGGGGGAATGTAATTGCCTGCAGACAAGCTCAAGAATTCATGCCAAATCGATCAAAAGCCAGAACTAGGGAGCTACTAATGCCGAATAGAAAAAGCATCCGAATTGTCACAGAGTTTCTCACAGGACATAGCACAAAAGACCAATCTGGTCGCAGTGCTCTGTTCCATTCGGAGCTAGTACCCAGTTTGTTCCTATTCTTACTAGACATTCCGGAGTCAAAAAACATTTATCGAACTTAGGTATTACAAGGGACGTTAGCTGCAGACTTTGTTACGAAGAAGAGGAAAGAGCAGAACACATTCTGTGTCACTGTAATAGTCTCGCCAGACTCAGACTTCGGTACTTATTAACTACCTATTCACTTATAACGGAAGTAAGTAACATTTCTCCAAGGGACATAAAGGCATTTTTAACTGCTAGGTGCCTATGGAGTAAAAGTGGATTTGTTACAATAACGGATTATTGTGACATAGTTCTCAACCCTTTCAAAATCTAACCTTATCTAATCTACTTGATTGGTTTTGTTGTTATTAATTTCCAAATAATCGTTAAATGAATATGTCGCCCATTTACTTAAATAGTATATTTAAGAAGGACTTACCTGTGGATGAGTTCAATTAATTCTTGTTCATAAGATGCTTTTTAGGAATAGAATTTTAACGCTGCTAAAAACTATTAATTTCAGTATTTTAATTAAATTTTATTCATATAAATGTTTTGCTTATGTATGTACAATATACCATATAGTTGGTAAGCTTTCGTTTAAAATTACTAGAGAAGTTGTTGTCCTTTAGTCTTGTGCCAACAAAGTTTGATTGTCATTGTAAACATCAACCACAAGAAATCTGCTACTCGAGGGTGTAAAAAACTTTCAGAAACTTCTAATTCGAGAAATAATTAAAACTTTGTTGATATTATATACTGATTTTCAATTGAATTCTAAACAAAAGCATAAGACAACAAAATAGTCATATTATATTGCTGAGGCAACCTTTGGTACACGACACTTGAGATAACTGCATACAAAAGTGTAAGTTGCACTTTCAGAAACAATTGTCTAAGTTTCTCATGTTATATACGCGCTTATATATCTATCTATTAATTTTCATAAATCTGAGTCGTCATCTAACTTTGTTAGAGGGGTTCTATTTTTATTTATTCGTTGCCATTGCACTTTTTAATTAAACCATCATATCCTGCAATTAAGTGCAATATGCTGCAATATCCGGAAATATCCTGCAATATATTGCAATAAAATATAAGTTGAAGAGACAAAAAATAATAATAAGAGCGAGAGAGAGTGAGAGTGAGAGAGAGAGGTGAGGAAAATATAATACAATAAAAAGACAACAAGAAACTAAAAGTGACTTTTTGTCACATGAATACTTTTGTTGGCAATTATGTTCCCAAAATTTTACTTAACTTACCACAAAACACTTTTCAAACAAGCGCAGCAGTCAGTAGTAAGCAGTGAACAGTGAACAGTGAGCAGTTCGCAGTTGGCAGTTGGTAGTTGGTAGTTGGCAGTTTGCAGTTGGCAAGGAGCAAGAAGTTAAAGGGAGTAAATTAAAGTGGGAATGTCTGTGTTGGTGTCGAAGTTTTAACCGCTTTACCACATTTCTCCACTAGAACTCAGCACGTGGTTCCACTTTAATATTAATATATTCTATATAAACATTATCATTGTCTGCGTAGAGATACTTCTTAACCCAGAAATACAAAAAAAAATTCTAATTTGAAACTAAAACTGAGGTACGGAATTGTACTTTTAATTAAAATGTTACGCCCTCTGCCACGGAATTACTAGTAGTGCTTGTAGCTGCAATGAAGACGTTGTTTGATGTTTTACAGAACTCTGGGTATTACAGTGAATTCAGGGTATTGTTAAATCTTCTTAAACATTTATGGCTTGAAATATAAAAATAGAAACATATATGGAAATACAAGAAAGCAAAAAATGAAACTTAATACTTAGTTAAGAATGTACTTAAAAATGTTCCAACCGAAGGAAGGACATATCACTATAACAAAAACAGAAAAAAAATAAAAAAAAATCTGAAAAATTCAACAGAAAAACAGAAAAAAATATCAAAAATCTAGAGAAGGAATCTAAGCTATAAGTTTCGTTTCATTGTTTTACTTTCTTTATTTCTGTCCTAAAATACTTCTTCTCATATCCTTTTACGTACGTTGAGAATGGGAAACATTTTTAAGAAGTAAAAAAGTGCACATACATTCAGTCCTTGCGGTAGATGGTAATGTCTTGTTCAGTCAATTATGAATGGTCCACAAACTTTGAGGTAAAACAAGTTTTGCTGACTCACTGAGGAAGAAGGAATTTTTGTCCAAAATTTTGAGCATATATTGCCAAAATTGTTACATCTTATTTAGATTTTATTTTTCGTTTTCGTAAATATTATTTACATTCATGCAATACTTGTTTTATTTCTTAGTTTGCCCATCTCAGTCCGAATACCTTAATTATTAGAATAAAACTTCTGGTAGCTATTGGCAGTATTTAAAATTTGTTTTCTTTTTAAATTGCTTAAAAAACTTTAAATATGGTAGTTAAAGATGCATCTGAAGTTGTGGTAAATTTTGCTTTTGTCAACGTTGAATTAAAAAGTAAGCATTTTTCTAAATATTATTTCAATAAAACTTGTTTATACAAATATACATATACCTTCTTGAGAGGGGATCTCTGTTGCAGCGTTTTCGCTGGCATGTATTCGTTCAGTGACTCTCAGTTGAGTACCGATTCTCATAGCTGCCGTCGATAGTATTCGCCATGCATCCGGCGAGCTTATCATCTTCAAGATGAAGTTTCCCGTGCATTATGGCTTGCCAATAGACTCACTCATCTCTCTCTGGCTTCGTTGAAATGTTGCCAAGAGAAAAGAATGTGGTTCGCACACTCAATAAGCCCTTCACAGCTGAGACAAAATGGAAACTCTTCGTGGTTGAAATCCACTCTATGTCGATTAGTAGATTTAACCCCATAAGCGTTCTTCTCATTTAAAAATATTACGTCGAAGACATTTTCACGAGGAACTAGCGAGTCTTAAGTCTACTTTGGTTACGCCTATAAAAGTTCTTGAAAATAAAACTCTATGTACCATAGATAGGCAAAGTCCTTTATAATATTTCGCTGAAATAAAGACTTAACATGACCTTTGTATATTTATTATATTTGTGTTAAAGATTTTTGTACAAATACGATCTATGTAATCCCATTAAAAAGTCCATTGGTGTCATATCGAATGATCCTAGTAACATTTTTAGAAATAAGCAAATTTTAGTAATACAAGTTGAGATTACTGCAATGAAATTTTTTCTTGCCAAAAGTGGTGCGTCTCATGACAAAAAGAAATTATTTAAATGCTGAAAGGGTTCGAATAGCAATGAAAATAAAAGAACAAAAATTTAGTTAATTTATTGAAATTTGGCTGACCACACAACGCTGTTTAGAGTATTGCCAAGTCATCATGATATCATGGTAATCATGGTATTATGAAAAACATGGGCGTACACTGGTAGGGGCGCATACATATATATGACATACAAATATTAAATACTTCTTAAATAGTAGTTTTTCCACTTTATGGTTGCATAAAGTATATGATATTGTTGTTTAAGCATACCAGCAACCCCAACCCCCCATCGGGTACGGGTACGCTCATGATGGTAAACATATTCTTTTTTCAAACTATTTATTAACAGATATAGGAAGCAGTTTTAAAAGTGTTTATATATTTTTTTTATATTTTAAAACTTTATATTATAAATTTTTCTACTCTTATGTTTATATAAATATAAAAAATACTCCTTATAAACTAATTGCTTCTCCAAGTGTACTTATGAGTTTTTGTACTAGATGTGTATTATCTCTTTTAATTTTCAGTCAAAATATATAAGATTATAATCTTTAATAATTAAATTGTACTTAAATTAAAATAAATCTTTTGTTAGTGTTAATAGCTAAAAACTGAAACTTTTAAACTTATTAGAAAACTAATTTAATTATGCAGTATAAAAACGATTAGGTGTTGTTAGTGGAAGTAGTTCTTAGATATACATTTCTTCTACATTCATTTAGTAGAAGTAATGAGCTCAAAAAACAAAAAAAAAATTGACTAATAAGAATTAAAAAAAAACTACAAAATACTTTTTCCTTTGCTGTCTCCATTTTAATGAAAAGATTAAATTTCCTTACACAAAATTTCAACGTTTATCGATGGTCTTGCATTCTCTCTTATTACGACTATGAAGAAAAATGTGTTAAACTCGTTTCGGTTTTTATGAATATACAAAATATTGTTAAAATGTTGCTAATATTCTTTATCAAGCATATCAAGAATATATTCTCTATCCTTCCGTCTTACGACACTGATGAGTCAAAACTTAAATATTCCTCTTGATGTGCATATCCTGCCGAGTGATGCCATTTCACACACCTCCTCGTGTAACAGAGATCAAAGTACGGAAGAAAACAAATAAACACTTTTTTGTTGCTTTATTGTTGCAAAAGGAGCTCCATTAATTCGCAATAAGAGAGCCCTTAACTGTATAATTAAGGTAGAATAAAAATGAAAGAAAATGCCATAAAAAAATCAATTAAATTTATTAAACAACATTAATTAATTTACTTTCGTGTAAACAATTTGACGAAATTTTCGACGTTAATTGTTTCACACAGCAACAATAAATTCAGGTGCAAAAATGAACCATTTCCCACCACATGGAAGTGTTTCCGTATATGCACTGCGACCATTCTGCCCGTTCTGCCCGTTCTGCCCGTCCTGCCCGTTCTGCCAATTTTGCCAGTTTGGCCAGAGGCAAGTATACATCCGTTGAGGCATAAATGACCATGCAACTTTATTTCATCATTACACACTACTTTTGTTACGTTCCCATGTTAATTCAACTAAAGTTCAGGCAACAACCACACAATAACACCAATAACATGAACGACAAGAACAACAATTTTAACAACAAATTGAACATGAGTTTTATTTGATTTACAGCTGCCAGTTCGACCAAACACAAAAGGCTCTCTGATGGACTCTTCATTAAGAACGTTACGCAGGCGGATGCTGGCGAGTACACATGTCGCGCCATGCGAATAACACCAACCTTTTCGGATTCCGATCAAATTACGATATTGCTAAGGATACAACGTAAGTATACATTTTGCACTTAGTTTTTGCGTTTTTATCCAAATACATATATATACCTTTATTTATACATGAATGCATATACATAAAGGAATAATAAATACATAGTTAGTTGTATATATGATTATATATACTGGTTGCATAGTTATGCCCGTCTATAGTGTGTAGTGTGTAGTGTGTACTGTGTACTGTATAGTGTGTAGTGTGTAGCGTGTAGTGTGTAGTGTATAGTTGTGCAGGAGTTGTGAGTTTGAATGCGGTAAGTGTGTCGGTTAAATTATGTGTCCACAAAGGGCTTGACGTAGTTACACCTACACTTAAACTAAAACTTGTACAGCAAGCGCACATCCAACTTTGGTTTAAACTCCATAAAGTTGCGTGAAGCTCCAACTCTAACTACACCTCCATTACCACCATTGCCAACATAGCCACCATCATCACCAACGTCACCATTACCACCATCTCACTCAACTATCGTATCTGTACCATCATTACTATTTCCATTTGCACCTCCAACTTAAACCGTAACTGCACCATCTGCTCTAACGGAAGACGAGTAGCACTAATATAATTGCACCAAAAAAAAAGTATTAAAATTGTTGTTACAGCAAAAACTGACGACAGCACAAAGGACATTTAATGCGAAAACTTTCGCACATAAGCGTATGTTGTAAGACATACGACGCAATTTCACACGTGTACTGTACTTACGTAAATGGTACGAGTATTGCACGTAACGTTAGTAAAGCGGTACGTGCTATACATGTCGAAAGATAAATTAGCGGACTAAGACTTCAGAATAAAAATGGCGAGTAATTATTGATAAGTGACGTAGTAATAAATGAGCAATGGCCATGCTTGGTGAAGACAACTTATGTCACGTATGGCAGCTAAATCACGCAACCATTCCTTCCTATAAGCCAGAAACGCTTTAATGCAACTTTTCTAGGGATTAAACTGGTAGTGAATATCATAAAGCCGAGAAATTCTAAATTAATAGATACAAACAGCTGATTTTGATAAACATATTTTGTAAAGTTCAAAGTGCAACATTGCTCTGAGTAATCACCCACCGCATTCTTAAGCTTTTTTTTTACCTTATAATATCACTACTTTGCTTATTCATTAGATCAAGTTACATTACCAATCATGAATTTTATACTATGAAAAAAATTAGTAACCCTCCATAATTTTCCTATATAAATTAGATTCAATTAAATAATGTAAACTAATATAATTCTCATTTACTTTACACGTTTTTTTAATAGTATATTTCGTTCAGTTATACAGAGTATATGACTGAATTCTTCGTTTAATAATATATTTCTACAAACATAGCATGTGCCATTTAAATAACTTATAGCTTCTTAAAAATAATTGTTTATGATGATCATATATAAACAAATTTTAATTAATTGACTTTTTCATTTAATGAAACTTTTTAAACACAAAAAACATTTTTAAAGTTAATTATTTTTGCCAAATTAATGCTTAACGACAAAGAAGAAGTTATTTTTTTTTAAAGTTAGAAGTGGTCAAATAGTAAAGAAAAGACAAGAACAAAAATTTCATTTATTTATTGAAATCTGGCTGACTATATAATGCTGTTTCGAGTATTGTCAAGTACTCATCATCAGTAGTCTTAGGAAATATTCGAATTTCTTTTTAATTGGTTTGAAGTCCATATATAATTTGTTTGCACTGCAAGCGCTAGACTTAGAACTCGTGCCTGTCAAATTAGAAACAATAACTAATAATATATATTAATATTAATATTTCATTAATACATTGCTTTGCATTGCATTTTAACAATAAAAACATGTGACAGCATAGACTCTTTATATATTCTAATTATTACCAAATGTCTGAATATCATACATTCATCTGAAGCCAATATAGAATGAGTCTTTTTGTTTATCATCCAAATGTTAACTGATTTTATTAACTAATGCCATATAATCAAGATTTCCTTATTATATTTTTGTTTTCAAGGAAATTATCAATCCATAAATTATTTTAATTATTAAGTTAATTATTTGCCCGATTTTCTCAATAAGTTATAGTATTGAATTAACTCAACAAAAGGTTATTATTTCATCTGATATGAGATTACACCTAGGTACCTTTTCGTTTATAAAGCAGTACCAGGTAAGGTTTTACTTAAAAGTAAAACACAATTTTAATTTCGTATATTTATTGCATATCTTTTAAAATATACTTTGATTGATAAATTTTTTTTAAACTCTTATTGAAATGCAAAAAAAAAATTAATACATACTGAAGTGAAAAAGCGTAGATCAATTTATTGTCGAATAATTCATTGCGCTGAAGATAGATGAAGTTGGCGAATTATTTTTTTGATTTTTTTTTAAATGATTGTAATATTTCTATAAATGCCTTTATTAAAAAGAAATGGTATATCATAATTATTTTGATAAGATTAAGGGCATACGTGCGTTGTTTTTGGGCCGCATATGCCGCAATGACTTTACATAAGAAGCTCTTCAAGCGATTCAATATCTTTGGTATATATAAGTAGTCTAGCAAGTTTAACCATAACTACAGAGATATATTCAAATGGACATGATTAGAATATTCTCCATAATATAATTCACTATATTATGTAGTTTTATAAAATACTTGTAGGAATTCATTGGTGATGAAAAAACAGTGTATATTGTAAAGTATTACTTGGCATAATTTTTTCTTCCAGAGTTGTAAAAAAACAGCATTAAGTCTGATTGAAAGAAATTGGCATCACTTTTAAAAATGTTAAATGCTTATGTTTTTTGTTGTGTTTTGTACAAAATAAAAAATAAAAATTGTTAACACTAAAAATTAATTAATTTAAATAAAAGAAAACAAAATGAATATTAGAAAGGCAATGATAAGCACTTTTATCTTATATATTTTAATTTATTTATTTATTTATGTATTTAAATTTATTAGTAAAATAAAATCTTCACATGATTTTAACGGATGACTGAAATTTTTCCAGTGAACATTCACAATAAACTAACTTTTGAATTTGGCTGCACTAAAATTTAAGACATAAAAGTATTTGCGAGTAAAAACTTACTCTGCAGAATTTAAGAGCATTGTTGTTGCTTTACATAGTTTCTTTCGCAAGTGGTGAATATTTTTTTGCTACTCTGAAAGACAAAAATTACAGCTATTATTATTACTTAATGGGTTCAGAGTATTTTTCCACGTCCGATTTTTACTAAGTCTTATAAATACATGCGATATAAGATGCTTACTTAGATATTTTTATTTAAGATACTTTTTAAAAAATATTGATATATGCATTATCATCTGTAAACTCTATTCATTTAATGGTTGCTATGTGTATTTGATTTAATCGTTTCCTATCAAATTTGTCTAAAACTGAGTTATGAGCACAATAAAAATTACATCCAGTTTGATGTTCTAGTTATTTCGAATATATCAGTAATTCTCGAATAATATCGGTAGTTCTTAAATAGTTGCTATGAGTTTTTGATTTTTTCAAATCCTTTCAAATTTGTCTAAAACTGGATTGTGAATAAAATTACATCCAGTTTGATGTTCTAGTTATTTCGAATATATCAGTAATTCTCGAATAATATCCGTAGTTCTTAAATAGTTGCTATGAGTTTTTGATTTTTTCAAATCCTTTCAAATTTGTCTAAAACTGAGTTATGAGCACAATAAAAATTATATCCAGTTTGATATTATAGTTCTTTCGAATATATCAGTAATTCTCGAATAATATCCGTAGTTCTTAAATAGTTGCTATGAGTTTTTGATTTCATCAAATCCTTTCAAATTTGTCTAAAACTGAGTTATGAGCACAATAAAAATTACATCCAGTTTTATATTATAGTTCTTTCGAATATATCAGTATTTCTCGAATAATAGTTTCTTTTACCGTTTTTAGTTTTATTATATTGTATTTATTTCTACTTTGGGTACTATTGATCATACGAAGAATAATAATTTTTTTGATACGGACATACATGACATCTAAAGTGGAATGAAAAGTAAAGGAATGGTAGTAAAGGGAAAAAGCCATTAAGCGGATATTGAAATATGTACTGCCGTAGAAAACTGAATGAAAAGTAAAGTAGAGAAATGAATTGAGAAAGACTTAGAGAATGATTTATAAAGGGCATAGATGGGAGATATGGAATAAAACAATCTAACAGCCTAAATATGAAGTAAAAGTGATGGTTGAGTAGGGAAAGAAGAATAGATGGGAGAAGATTAAAACAGATAAACCAAAAATAAAAAAAAAAGGAAACAAAAAAAAATAGATTGTTTTACGTGAATATTAGTGTAACGAATTGCGTGTTGTGGAATATTTTTAGTTAAATGGTTGATAATAAAATTATGTTTACACTTACATAGTGCCAACAAATTGTTTACAAATATGGAACAGGGACCTGTAAACAGAAAAACAGCTTATTTGTGAGCATTAATAACAACATCGATATGATTTGTAATCTGATACTGTTGCTGGGGTTGCTTAGTCCAGCTTGCGTTCGGAATTAATGTGCTGTGAGGAGAAACCATACATATCCTTGCGAACGAACGAACGAACGCATGCGAATTTTCCCGTATGTTTCCAAATACGAGTAGTGTTATTTTACTACTTTTTTACCAAAGAAGAGCGTTTTTCCTTCCGTTCTTATTAAGGAGTTTGCATCGTAAATTATTACTTTGTTATTGCATTCATTAATAACGTTTACTTGCGCTATGTATGAGCGCAGCACATCGATTCTGTTAAAATGTTTTAACAGCAAATTTTTTGTTCCTTCGCAGTGCGTGTCTGCTGAACTTAAACTACGGAAAAATAACGCAACCATTTGATATACGCTAAAAAGTCGTCGTTCTTTTACCCAGGGATCGCTGCTAGCCTTAACTCTTTAAACAATTTATACTCGAAATTATTGACTTGTATGGAATTTTAAAGAGTAATGCACTTCATAAAATTCCTGAACTCGAAATAGCAGTTTTTTATG